GTTTGTGGACTGTAAATACATGCAAACCCCAAGTATTTGAGTCAGACTGACCTCTACTTTTTCTTGGTTATGAATGATTATAATTAAAATCATACTGTAACTATGTGTGCTGACAGGTGTTAACTAGACTTTGGTGATCGTTTTGCAATATGTATAAAAATCATGTTGTACACCTGAAACTAATGTTAATTTTACTTGAATGAAAAAGAAAATCACACTTGTAAAAATCTAACAACTAGTCTTGACAATAGAATGGTAAAGGAAACTTAGAATTGGTGATAGTTGTCACAGAACACGTTATATATCATCTACACACATTTCCTGACTACAAGAACAATAAGTTACAACTTCTATCTGATGTTTACCCTACTGTTTCCTTGGCTGAGGGATGTTACTAAGCATTAGATTGAATGTCTCAACCATCCACTCATCCCGATAACAGTATTTTATGAACCCGACAGAGTCCGCAGCGCTGCCCTGACACAGCAATAGCAGGTGGAGATGTAATTTTTCTAGGTAAAAAAGGAATTCAGTAGATGGAGTTAGGAATGCCTGAAACTCTTCTTTACTCTTTACCATTAAAAAATATCTAGAAACATAAGAGGTGGCTACATTCTTTCATGGCAGTGATACCATCCTGGGACTTTACTATTGGAAAGGCTCTCTGGCACTTCTATGTCAGGGTCCCAGTAAGCGATTTTATGATTTTATGCAGAAATATGTGGTTGCTACAAACATGAAACAGAAGCTAGGAGGTTAAGTTGTTCATATTCACATTTGCCCTTTGCTTTGAAATTCTGAAATGTCAGTTTACCTCCTGGAGTCACCAAGCTGTAAAGGTTTTGTTTTTATTAGCATGTGGTTCTACTAAAGATTTCTCCTCAGTGACCTCTCACCTCATCAGTCACTATTGAACTGGTACTTTAATTTATAACCTTTATGCCCAGAGGTACTTCAGGTGACCAGTAATAAACTATGTCGAGCTCCCAGCAAAGTTTTCTGCCAGGGAAATTAGTCTCTGTACATTGCATTTTTAAAGCACTTTTTGCCAGGCTACTCAGAATAGTAGATAAACTCCACTGAGTCCTGAGCAAAGGTGCTCACCAAGTAGCTGACTTGCTCTAGACCATCCAGGGTGAGACCAGAGCTAACTATAGTGTTATTTCCCCCTTTCATTGAATACTGGTCTCAAAAAGCTGTTGCTGCTGTTCTGATTGATAATAATAATCATCCATACACTGGTAAGGAAATATCTTGGAACCTACCAGAATGTGAATTTGTTGTCCCTGCCATTATTCTTTTGATGACCCATGTTCCTGTAGGTAGATCTAAGGTATAGTCACATCCAGGGAGGTGTGCTTCAATCATTAGCATTCTCTGAACATCCTACACCAGAGGTACTCATGCTGTGGGGAAGTTCCAGGCTGGGTGGGGCATGGCACAATGGCCTGAGATGCTAACCATGCTGGCTTCCTGTGGGGAGCAGAGCAGCAGTAGGTGGCCTCTGCTATGACCTATAGCCAGCTATGCTTTGCTAATGAATGAAATATGTCTGTCGTTTTTGAGGCTTGGTAGTTAACATGTACACTGATTGCATATTAAACTGTCACTCCATCTGGTTTACTGTGATATGAAGAAACACTCTGATTTGAGCAGGACAAACCCTTCCATCCCCCAGATAAAGAGGCAGCAATTCATTTTCTATGCGAATATATGCCCAGCTGACCGCAGTCTGTGTTTATCTTGAAAATCGTGGATTTTCATAGACTTCAGTTCTACAAATATCTTGTTGGCCAAGTGTTTCGCAGCCTTCGGCTAGTTCTTGGTCTTGGTCTTCCGCAGGAGCTCCTCACATGCTGTGAGGAGGGGAAGGGGGAGATTAAGGACGGCCTAGAGGTGATGCTCAGCGTGCCGAAGCGAGCCAACGACGCCATGCACCTCAGCATGCTGGAAGGTAACCGACTGCATGTCTCCTACCTGGAGTTTGTTCGCTCCCTACTCACACTGGTTGTAAGTGGACCTCCTGTGCCCTCAGAATTTCAGCATCATGCCTCTAGGTTTGATTAGGTGGTAAGAATTTAGATGTGAATGCCTTCTATTTGAAAAATTGGTTCCACTGCTTCCTTAAGGATCATGAAATGCTTCAACCCATCCTGTCTCTTATCTGGAGAGTGGCTTCTCCACACGCTGAACCCCAATAGCACCTTGTGTCATGTGTCTTAGGCAACCTGGTGTCTGTGTTGGATGGATGGGTGGAAGGAAGGGTAGCTCGATCCTGCATGAAGATAAAATCCTTAAAAGAGCTTGTTGCTTCCCCATCTCTGTATCTGTTGTATCTCTTGCTAGAGCCTTGAACACAGCAGGTACCCACAGACTGAGTATGAGTATAACACTGTTAAGAAGAGAATCAGATACATACACTTAAAAATTAGTGTCGCAAGTATAATTTCCATGAATGTTTCTGTGTTACAGAGCTTAACTCTTACTGCCAGGTCACACAGAATTACTTACAACAGTAATCCTGCCCCAGATGCTGTTGCTAGCCTGTATCACAGGCTTTGCCTTAACTACTACTACTGAGGTATAGTAGTTAAGGCAAAGGTGCTTTTGTAACAGAAACCCCAAATCGGGCCAAGCAAGAGAGCATTTTTCCTTCTCTGATGTAAAATCCAGAGCTGGTGCAGTGGCCCTTTGGGACGTCTTTAAGGCCTCAGGCTCTGTTCCTTCCAATTTCTGTGCATTCCTTGGATGTTGGCTGGGTTCAGGATGTGTCAAGGCCATGTTGGCATTCCATCTAGCAAGAAGAAAGTGGGGAAGGAGGGGGAGGGAGGGAACAACTAGAAAGGCAGAAACTGAAGCCTAACCGTGACGCCCCCACGCGGCAGGAAGCAGGTGTACAGCTTCTAAGGAGCGGGCAGATGGAGCGCATATTGCAGCAGCTGCATCAGCTGTGGAGAAGATGGGGCAAAAGGAAGGTGGGAAATAAGATAGCAGCCGCTACCCCAGGCATCTTGCCACTTGTCCAGGCCTGGCAGCTTTAAGGCCACACAGTGGGCCACTTCCCCACAGAGGAGCAGCAGGGAAGGCCAGCAGTGGCCAGAGCGGGAGGGATTCGCATGAAGCATTTTGCATCCATGGAAGAGCCATTTCCTGAGGACATATCTGTCTCCCAGGAGGAAGACCAGGCCAGGACCGTGAAGGCAGAAAAGCTGGGCTGTGACTGCATATCTGGGAGGGGTGTTCTGGGCTGAGGAAGCAGGTGTCAGGACTCAGGCTGGGAGGCCTTGGGGAGGCGGGGGAGGCCTGATGCTGGAATGCTGCTGGCCAGGAGTCGGGCGTTCAAGGAGGTCTCAGGTGGTGGGAATGCCACCCTGAGGAGCAAGAACTGAGGAATGAAGCCAGAGGGGACCACTGTTTTAGGAAGAATTATTTTATTCAACAGGTCAGTGCTAGGGAGACTGGAGATGGGAGTCTGGATGGGAAACCCACGTGAGAGTTCCCTAGTGGGCATTTCACAAGTGCTTAAGTAGTCATAATGCTGATTTGTTCATCATTATTTATTTCCTTTTGAATTGATTGTGCCTCCTCCTTTTCATGTTGCAGGATTTGATGAAAATATTGAGTCTCAGGGAGAGCTCATCCTGCAGGAATCCTTCCAAGTGTGGGACCCAAAAACCTTAATTCGAAAGGGTCGAGAGCGGCATCTCTTCCTTTTTGAAATGTCCTTAGTATTTAGTAAAGAAGTGAAAGATTCCAGTGGGAGAAGCAAGTACCTTTATAAAAGCAAATTGTTTGTAAGTATAGGCGTTCAGAATTGTTCAGTTTAAAGGTAATATGATTGCAGCTTTTTTGTAGGTAGAGAAAAATCACTGTTGGTTGCCCCCAGCTTAACGTCCCAAACTACCCTAAAATATGAAAGACTGAAATGGTCGTGTCTTCATCTTCCTCACTGAAGGTCCCCGTCAGCCTGGAATCCACTAGAGGGCACTCAGGAGCTGGAGTGTCATGACACTGGAAACTTGCTTTTTCTAAATTCCATAGAATCTAATTGCAGGATAAGAAAACACTTTCTGAGTTTAAAGAATTTGTTTCCTATGTGCCTTAGCTAGCTTTATACACACATTAATCATGTCAGACTATGAGTAAGTATCATATCATAATAATTAATTTTTCATTCACCAACATTGGAATATATCAGGCAGCCTTAGGCTCACTGTGGGTCCTTAATGATGAAGTTTAATTATTTTCATTAAAAATAATTTATGGATTTAAATAAGCAAATTAACATTGACCTAGAACTACCATTTAGTCTTCAGATCCTACACAGATTCTACCCATTGTCCCAACGATGTCCTTTCTAGCAAATGGATCTAGGTTTTTGGGTGTGTCTCATTTGTCATACTTATTTCAATCTCTTTCAGGATAAAATAGTTCCTCAGCCTCTCTTAACCTTAAATCAATTTACGGATATATAAATTTATGGTTCTTTATAGTAGTAAAATATGATTGTTAGAGAAAATTAATGTAAGCAAAAAATAAAGTTTCAAGATCCATACTCCACCTATCTGGAGACAGCCACCCTGCTTACTTAATAGATACAGTGATGCATTTGAATTACTGAACATGTCAGTGTATTTCCTGGCAAGGAAAGCATACAGGGCACCTTTTTTTCAAGCCCAAGCAGCCTCTTTATAAATCCATGTCGACTCAGAAGTCTTGGGCAAATGTGCTCCTCCAGCTCCACTGTGCCTCCATCTGCCCTTGGTAGGAGGGTCTCAGAAAGCTGCCAACAAAATTGCTGAGGTTCTGGCAGGGAGAGAATTGGGCAAATCTAAGGAAAAATTACCATCAGAGAATAGAAAATGTAGTAGGATTCAGTTTCTTCCTTGCACAGGATTGCTTATACATATTGGTAGGTATTTGGAATTTGGACAATTGATACATTATACATTTTTATAGTATCCATATGTTAATCAAATTCCCAAAGTTATAAAATACAGCCACGAATAGAAATCATCTTAATGATCATCTGGAAATCGCCCATTCAAACTCATGATTTTCATGCCATTTTCTTTGGCTTATGTCCTGTTTGAGATTGTCTCTTGGATCACAGCCTGCCTTACATCATTTTAGATCATACTCTGACTCAAAAAATGCAGCATTGCTGGCTAGTAATTTCCCTAGCTGGCCTTAATCTATCCTTAGAGACCAGGTTGGTCTGTCTGAGAAGCAATGCATCTTCACTTAATTTATCTTTTAAAAGTTAAGGTTCCCACAGAGGCCACAATTATGAATTGCTTCCTTTGCTAGAGTGAGGAGAGTACATCAGGGGTGGACTTAGTTGTGGGGGAGGGAATGAGAGTGTTGACCTTCATCTGCACTCTGCCATGTTCTGTGTGTTGCGGCTGCATATGTTAAAGAGGGAACTTCTATCTCTTAGCCATTAAAATTGGTGAAATACTAAAAGTTAATGCTGTTGATAAATTAGAAAATAATTGAGCTGTTAAAATGTCATTTGGCTTCTGTGAAGCTACTTCATTAATGCTAAAAATTACATGGAGCCTCTTTCGCAGCTGAGACAGACTCATTTTGTTGTTTATAAGTTTCAAAATAGTCAACCCTGATATTCCAGATAACAGCGTTTTCAGTTAGTTTGGTCTCTTTCCTCTGCTTACTGACCTGCATCAGGATCTGCAGGAGGTGCTCAGAGGAAGTGAAAGAGATGGTACCAACCATGTGCGCATGTGACTAAAATGAGATCTCAGGACTGTCAATGTAAACAAACTATATTGTTAAAACCTAGCATTACCGCAAGTCACTGAGAACGGTTTTCTTGGTCTGTATTTTATATCCTGCCAGAATTTTACTGTTGCCTAACTATGTAATTGTCTTTTATTCCAGACCTCAGAGTTGGGTGTCACAGAACATGTTGAAGGAGATGCTTGCAAATTTGCACTGTGGGTAGGGAGGACGCCAACTTCCGATAACAAAATTGTCCTTAAGGTATGTTCATTTAAAGCTTGGAAATGTGCTGTGTGACAAGTTTATCATGGCTGTGTAGGCTTTTTTTTTTTTCTGTTTTAAAACAATACTGGTTTTCAGATCATTTTTGTTGTTCCCTTTGTGTTCTGTTGGAATTGGTGTTTACTACAAAAAGAATAATGGAATAAACTCAGTTTGATATTCTAGTGATGAAATAGCTTGAGCTAAACTTCTGCTTGTCACTAGAAGATCAAATAGAGAAGGCCTTTTTAAACTTCTTCCATCCTTCCAGTCTTAAAAAAGAATTAGTTGATACCATAAGAGATGCGGTTGAGGTCTGGAATAGACTGACAGTTCCCACTGAGTGCAGGATCTGTTTTCCCAAGGAAAATAGGCACCTGATGAGTCTGAGGGCCTTTCACGGTTTCAAGGCCAGGACCACCAGTACCATGCCAAGGCTGAACATGGGGTCCTAGGCTCTTCGGCTTTCTAGTTTGGGGGCAGAGAAATAAGAGGGCTAATTATCAGCTGCCAGGTTTGATAATGTTATGATTTAAAGTGTTCAAAAACACCACGGGTGCTTTGGGTATATATCTTTGGGGGAGGAAAATATCTTTGAATATTTGATTTGAACTCTGTTTTGATTATACTAGCCTCCCCTAGGAATGACAGAGGGCTCTCAGGATGTCTTGCCTACCTCCCTCCTTCTGTGTTTGAGAAAATACAGATGGAACTCTATTTTTGAGCTGTCTGGAAAGACCATAAAGCAGCTTCAGGGTGTTTTGGGGAAGATGTAGCTAAAGATTTGTAGAATATTGGGAGAGGAGCCAAAAACGTAATGGGATTCTGCTCTGTGAACTTGCATGCCAGCAATTTTTTGTCTCTTGCATTCCTTTTCTTTTCCCTATGGTATTTTCAGCAACTCTGAGTTATTCATCCATATGTCAGCCCTTTAGAGCTTGTACTTTACTGACCACTGACTGTGGAAGCCATCATGTTTCTTAGGCCTTTGTTCACACGGGAATGATGGATTGTTTTTCAGTGAACATATCATTACCAACCAGTGTGTTCCTGTTAGTACTGGCATTAACGCTCTATACAATATAAATTGCACTGATAGATAAATATTAAATAACTGAACTTTTCTAAGGTATATAATTTTAAAGCATACTCAAGACCTTAAAATTTCCAACTTTTATAAAGTATTTACTCAGATTATCTGCAGTGACAGATGCCCAAGGGTGCGTCTAAAAAATAGCACCAGGCATTTTAGCCATATACGGACTGATTTTTATGTAAGGCATAATAAAATACCCATGATGCCACTGCAAAATAAAACTTCCTGCAGACTTTTGCAAGTGAGAGTTTTCTAGGGCATTGGGGGGATTTTTTTCTGACGACCAAGGAAATGATGTCCTCATTTAATTTCAGAGATTGCTTTGGCGTGATGGTCACGGTCACAGTGGAGATGGAGGAAGTGGTGGATATCATGGTACTGGTGGTCCTGGCAGAGATATGCCGGCCCAGTAATTATAAAGCAAACCTCTTGGTTGTTGTTGTTGTTGTTGTTGTTTTTACTTTAAGGGCTGAAAAAGAGAACTTTATTTCTAAATCTTTCCTTAAACAGATTGTGACTGCCAAAAATATGAAATAAGTTATTCCCTTCTCTTAGCTAAGTGGGACCTTTTCTAAGTACTTTAGCTGGCTTCTCTTCCTCCTACTGTTCCTGAAAAATTGTCTCCTATTTCTCTCATTTCATTTCTTTAAGGTTAGAAGAATTACTCTTCATAAATGTAATGATTAGTTCACTCCATTTAAATCACAAGACTTTTCTTTATTTGTGAACTATAGCAACAGTTTTCCTTAGTTGTCTCCTTTCTCTTCCCCAACCTTAACATTCGTATCAGGTATTTAAATTCTAATCCACCTGTAATTTTCATAGTTTTCCATCCTGAGATAGTTTAATCTCATGTCCCAACTCTCCCAAATCACCCCCTTCTTCCCCAGAGAGATTTGGATTACCGCCTCCTGGTGGATGGGGGCCAGAGACTCTTCTCACCCTTATTTAGCCCCCCACCACCACCCTTAAATCACAAAGGCACATCCTCCAGTCCAAACATTTTATGTAGAAAAAGATTCTGAGTTGTAATTTCCTCTCCCAACACAGGCTTTAGCTTTCTACTTTAAAAACAAGGTACAGTGGGAGGCAATGTTGGGTCCCCTCCCTTCATGAGCTCATCTGCAATCCCACTGACAACTTTTATGAATTTGCAGGGAATTATACTTATATCATAGGAGGTTGATGTTTTCCATTAGGAAATTAAAAACTATTAGTAAGGCCCAGAATATGTTTAAAAAAGAAAAAAACTCCTGTAAGGCAGTAAAAGAAATCTGGAAAAAGTGATGCACTATGTGTTCATTCAACAAATGCTTACTGAGTATCTACCATGTGCCATTTTCAGGGACCATTTTTGCAAAATTGCAGTGGGATTGAGGAAAATGCACCCCATGTAATTGGCAGGAGATCAGCTGGTCTACACTGGTGAAGTAAGGGGTGGGTGAGGGCAGAGCTCTCGAGGACCAGCTCAGGTGTCGCTCCCTGGATTCTGGCTGCTCCCGCTGCAAGCAGGGTGGCCTAGGGTACATTCTGATGTGTGCATGCTGCAGTTCCTCATTTATAACTCGGGGATCGGGGAGGCCCGGCTCCACAGAGTGCTGGAGAATGAGAGGGGCACAGCAGGGAGGGGCAGCACAGCTGCTGTTCCTGCAGTCAAGGGGACGAGGCAGCAAGATGGGTGGGCGAGGCAGCAAGACGGGTGGGCGTTAGTTCCGGTCAGTCCCTGCTGTCACCTCACCTGCCACCGGCCACTTCTCTTGGGGGCGAATAGCCTCAAAGGTTCTTTGGTTTGGGGGTGGCTTCGTGCTTGTATTTACCCAGAGCTGCTTTAAAGGTCTTAGGACTGGGGAATGATTGGTTATTAGAATATAATATCCAGAGATCTGGAAAAATATATAGGCTATAAAATAAAAATAGTTTTGATGAAAAAATATTCAAAATTATTTGGAGGCAAGTTAAACATAGAATGAATGTGGTTGCTTTGCTGCTGAAAAGTTATTTTTAAAATGGGAAAATCAAGGAGTGCATCAGATCTGAGTGTCACTCAGGTTCTAGAAAGGCCCCTTCTGTCTCCTGATGGATTCTAACACCTTGTTAAGGCTTCCAGCATAGAAAACAAGCAGGACTGGATAAAGCACATCCGTGAGGTGATTCAGGAACGGACCATCCATCTCAAAGGAGCCCTGAAGGAGCCCATTCACATTCCCAAAACCACTCCTGCAACAAGACAGAAGGGAAGGAGGTGAGTGCTTGGTGGGGGGAGGGTGGCAAGTCTGCTCATTTAATAGGGAGGAAACGGGAAATGTTAACTTACTGCTTTGCAAAGTCATTTTTCTCAGATATTTTGAGGAATGTGGTCTTTTAAAATACACTCATATATAACATCATTCTTAGTAATGAAATCACTCTGTCCAAACAAGAACCTCCTTTGGCATAATGCAAACGAAGGGCTCTATGCAGGTCCCTAATCATTTTCCCTTTGCCACCCCCAGGTGTGAGTCTGTGCACATGTATCTCATGCTGTGACCTTGGACAGTTACAGCACACCTAGATGTTTTGTTTCTCAGTCATGCAGCAGAACTAATGATACCCGCTGTATCTATTATTGTGAGAACTAAACATGGTACCATGTGCTAGATCCTTAGCCTGTGCCCAGTAGAGGGTGACCTGCTATCTTTAATGTGGGGGTGGCAGCAGCAATCATGGAGACTGATTAGCACCTCTTCTAGCAAATCTGTTTCTCCAGTGACTGGTAGATGATTTCCTCAGTCTTGAAAAGCAAATCCAGCCATGTCAGAAATTAAAAGTTCCTTTGTTTTCCAGGGATGGAGAGGATCTGGATAGCCAAGGCGATGGCAGCAGCCAGCCTGATACAATTTCTATTGCCTCCCGGACGTCTCAGAACACACTGGACAGCGATAAGGTAACCAGCACTCTCTTTGGGGAGGAGAATGTAGCTAGTCTCTGGTCTGATAGGAAGCAGCCTGTTTCTATCTACAAATGACAGTTTGCCATCAACATTGTCCAACAGTCATTGTGCGCTAACAGTGGTGGCAGGACATGGAAGCACGTGGTGTCAGATTCAGAAAACAGCAGTGCCATTATTTAATTTTCTATCAGAATGTTCTAGGGCAGTGTGTTTCAGCTTTTTTACTTTATATTAAGCAAAGAAACTTACTATTTTAAATTAGATCTCGCCCAGAGCCCTGATGCATAGCAGCAGAGATGCTCTGATGGCTCAGGATGAGCAGCATCCTCTACTGGCCCTGCAGCTGCTCCTCAGAGTACAGGGGCCACAGAGCACGGAGGGCTCACTGCAACACACACCCTTGCCCACGCTGGCCACTAGGAATGTAAGTCCGCTTTAGGTCACAGGGTCTATGTAGGTGTGCCTTCTACAGGAGTGGCCTGGAGTATCCCGTGATTCTGTCTTGATAGAATCCAAAAAACCTATAAAATAAATTGACAGGAGATTTGGGAATCTGGGCTTGCATGATGCACAAATGCCCAAAGTCTTCTGTAAAAGCCAGAGGGGGGCATTCCATCTTCACAAAGCCTTCTGTCCCTACTGAGATGAGCACCTGTTATTTTCTGTTTCTAAAATGCTCTACCAAGTTCTCCAAAAAAGTTACCTGACAGTAAGTAGGCGGCAGCTCTAACATGCCGTCAGTTCGGGATTCTGAGGGTCCTCACTGTCTGAGGCTGTGCTTCCCTGCCCAAGGCCCGGCCGCCCAGGAGTCTGCTCTCACAGCACCTCTGCAGCCCACTCAGGCAGGGGAGAAGGGTCAATGCCTCCCTGCCCTGGGAATGTCTGCTGCCACAGGGAGCCTGGTGTCTGGGGGCGGGAGTGGATTTCAGATGCCGAGTCTTACAGTTCTGACATTGGTCTTTTCAGCACTTGTTTGGTGTTTAATGCAGTTTACAGACTAAGTCGGTTTGAAAAAAAAAAAGTGCTTTCCTATCCTGATTTCATTTTCAAAATCCTTCTAGTTTGAGAAATTTGTTTTTTTCTCATTCTACTTTTTGCATTCACTAAATATTAAATCCTAGAATGCTTAGAGTAATAAGAATAAAGAATAAAAGCAAGGCCTCATTTTATTTTGTTCAGAGCACAGCATATTAGCATTCATCATATTTCTTGCCAGTAGTAATAATGAGGAATAAGAGAAATGAGTTTTTCAGGCATTTGGTGCCTAATAGCATCTCCCTGTGGCCCCACCCCATGGCCATTTAGTTAAGGAAATTAAATTTTACTTGGAAACACTTTATTAGATTAATTTTGATTATTTTCTTTAAAAAAAAATACTAGAGTGATCGAGTTACTACTCAAGACTTCCACCTGAAGGCAGAGCGGAAACTAATACAAGCCTGCCCTCCTTCAGGCTGGTTCAGACTCATGGTGTTCGAGCATCGCCACTCCAGCTGGGGATCCGTGAGGCCCCAAATTTACATTCTCACCAGATATATTCTCATGGATCTGATCTGGGTTTACCCTGGAAATGAGTTTAAAAGTTAATTTTTTTAAATGTTATTTGAATGAAATTACCAGAGATAAACATACAGAGTTGTGCCATTTAGAAAGTATGTTAAGACTTCTGTGAAGACTGGTCCAGGAAGAAAGGGGACTCTTTCTTCAGGTGGTTGATGCACAAATGGGTGGTGATGGAAGTCGGGAAACACCCCCCACCAGATCTAGGAAGGGGCTTCCAACCCCAGTTCCCCAGCCTGCCTTGTGCTGTGTAGAGAATTCGTGTGGCAGCGTCCATTGCCACCCTGGTCTCCTGACGTCTGGCTGTCTGGAATTCACAAGAGGTTTGCCACAGAAAATGAGGCTTTATCCTGGAGTTCAGAATTATGTGAGTTGTTTTACTTTGGATCTATTACAGCATAATAGGCCTGTATGAACTTGGATCTGTGCCCACCCGACTCCTACAGAAAAATAAGACCTTATCCCAAGGGCCATTGCTATTGAGACAGCAAATTCTATTTGTGCCCAATGAGAGGGGAAGAATAAATCATGAACAGAAAAGCATACATTTGCAGAAATTAATCATTTTACCCTGGGAGTGTACTGGGATAGTACGACTTTTAAAGAACTTCTGTTAAATATTTTATCTGTGGAGTAATTCACCAATTTCTGTTTACCTCATTTAAGGCGTTGCCGCCTCACTTCATTCCATAGCTCAGAAACCCCTAGGGCCACTTCTGTGAGTGTAGCCCCCTCCCCTGCGTCACAGAGGCTCGCTCTGACACCTCTGGGTGAAGCTCTGGGGACAGGTTCCTGCTCAGCAGTGCCAGCCTGCTGGTCTTATGATTGCTGACCTTCTCGAAGTAGCAACTCCCCCTAACTCAGTTTTTTCAGTGGATGTGGCATGCATTTCCTTTAACATGCTCCTCCCTGGGATCAGATCAGAGGTCCCCAGCAGGCTCAGAAGTACAGAAAAGGGATGAAGCATCCTCTGAGACTGCAGAGCTGCAAGGGGTTATCTTCAGTTCTGTGGAATCTGCATTTGCAATGAGCATAAACAGCATGTGATACTTAATAAAGATAGGTCAGAATCTGGAGTTTGGAGAGGATGTAAGCATGAGGCCTTATAAAAAAGCAGGCACATGTTGGCTAGCTCACAGATGCCTGCATTGGTGTGTTCTCTGCTTTTGCAACATTTTCTCTTAGCCATCTCCCTCGTTGTACTTCTCCGATAGAACATTTTGGGGTCCCTAGATGATTCAGAAGACATCGGGCATTAAGAAAGTGCATCCTTTTCTGAGTCAGTTTGTGAAATGAACTGCTTCTCTGAAATCAGCTTAGCCAGAAAACCCCTTATCTCTGATGGCAGTCTTGAGCTTCTCTTCACCCTGCATATTTCAAATTTAAATAGCCTCTGATGACACAGGCAGATAGATCTGGCAAGGGAAATTACTTAACCATGGTCTGCCTGTTTGACTTAATTTATGATGTCTGTTATGAGTTAGTTATCATGGAGTTTGGTTCTATTTCAGAAACTGGGTGGGGGATGTTGACTTGGCCTCTTGGAGAATTCTTAAGAAGTATCTGCCTAGTGCTGTAGGAATTCTCCAGTGAGGCTTGGGAGCTTTGGAAGGGTCTGGTAAGGAGAGCTCCCGGAGATGCCCTCTTTCCAGGGAGCACTGTCAGCAGAGCTGAGAAACCACATGCCCACGAGCACATTTCCTTCTTTGAAACCATCAGTTTTAAGATATGCCATCTCTTTGCTCCAAAAGTAAGTTTAGCACCAATTCTTGCATATTCAGGGTAGTTATGCTGATAAAATGATCTTACGAAAATGTAACTGGGTTCCAGAGAAATCAGCAGTGTGCCAGGTTTTTATCTCCTCTGTCCTAGGCTTGTCTCCCTGTGGTAGGAAGGACACTGCCCCACCGGCCTTGGGGGCCCAGAGGAGATGGGACAGAGGACCCTTGCAGGGCCACCCAGCAGCAGGGAGCTAAAGCCAGAAACGGAATGTGGGTTTAATTACTTGTCCATGTCTAGACCCTATTGTTTCATACTAGATCTGAGTATGGAGCTAAATATTAGTATACTAAGCATTTTAAACCTTTTTGCCTTCTATCTGCCTTATTAGTCTATGGCTCATTTCATATAACAAAAATATATAAGGAAAATAGAAAATATGGTTATCTGTAGGCGACTACAGAACAAAGCATCCTGAGATGAAAGTGAAAGAAGTCACCGAGGCAGAACGAGGCACCGGTGGGAAAGCCGGCCCACGCCTCCAGGGGCCGGGCGCCAGTGCACTGCGGGCACAGGCCGTGCTTGCTTGTAATGAGTGGGAGACTCATGGAGACTGATATTTGGCATGAACTGTCCTAAGCTTTCAACATGAATATGTGATCCACATATTCAAGCAAAAGATGATTTCAGGTACTCTTTAAGTCCAGCACTATTTGGGGATATGAGATTCGACATAGTTTAAAAAGGCCACTGACTTCCTCTGAAGCAACTTTCTACACTATAGGAACTTTGTTGGATTCACATGAATTGTAGCACTGAGGCATATAAAATAGCCCATGGTGATACATTGAGAAATATGGCTGAAGAAAGGAAATTTGGCGCCCAGCCTGGGCCAGAAATGCGCCACTTCCATTCAGCCCACATCCCATGGCCACACAGGGCAGCCCTGCCCAAGAAAGGTGAGCCTGCCTCAGCCCGAGCAGCCCTTGCAGAAGAGGAGGCACCCACCCTGCGGGCCTTGCCAGAGCTCAGAGGCTTCAGGACCTCAGTAGATCTGCCCCTACGTAGGTGTGAAGTTGAGTTGTTCAGTCCAGAAGCTTTTCTTGGGGATGGCCCGTCGTTTTAACCTCCTCAGACAGAGTGCTCCAGATGCCTGCTGAGCTCTGACGCTGCTCGGCCTGTCAGGGTAGTTGCAGAGTGTTGGACATCAAATAGCAGGTGGTTAAGAACAAGGAAGGGCTCACCAGCCAGACATCTGGGATGTGTGCTGAGCAGCCTTAGAAAGTTCCTTCACCTCTCTGTGCCTCAGTTTCCTCCTCTGTAAGTAAGGACAGTACTATAATCACTCACAGGGCTGTGAGCATTACAAATGTGTAATGTGTTTAGAGCAGTGCCGAGCATGAACTAAGCACTTAAATATTAGCTATTGCTGCATCTTCATTTTAATAATCACTGCTTCTCCCTCAGTTGAGCTGCTGACGGTCATTGCTAGCTGCTGGAGCTCACTGTCTGTATCGGTCTCTCTCCGTAGTATTTGGGCACTCTCCACTGCAGTGGGGTCGGAAGCTAATTGTGTTCATTAGGAGCAGTAGCTGTCCTAAGGATAAATTGCTCAGCATTAGGCCCTGAATTTAAACAGCAAAACGCTGACTACATATTGAACAGGCAGTCACTGAAAATGAGGCAGGCTCCTGCTCACAGCATCTGTCCAGCTG